GATAGATAGATAGATAGATAGATAGATAGATAGATAGATAGATAGATAGATAGACACTCAGACAGACAGACAGACAGATAGATAGATAGATTGACACACAGATATCTATATAGACACTCAGACAGACAGATAGACAGATGGATAGATAGATAGATAGATAGATAGATAGATAGATAGATAGATAGATAGATAGATAGATAGATAGATAATGTGAGCAGCAGAGCTACGCTGTGAGGTTTGTATGTCTGCTATCATCTGTCACCCATTTCCAGGCTCAACCCCTCAGAGAGACTGGGCCAGAGGAACGGGGTCAAGGACATCTGCAAACACATGTAAGACCTGCTTGTGTGTGCGCTTCATCAAATATATTTGTACAGAAGGAAGAGACGGGACTGGTGTGCATGTGGGGGGGGGGGGGGGGGGGAGATGAGAATGGAAAAGAAAAGAGCAAAGGAGAGGAGAGGATGCGGCTCTGTTTTTAAGTGCTGGCTTATTTTCTAGACTGATTAACTTGTGTTGTGTTTCTCAGGTGGTTTGAAGGCTTCGACTGGGAAGGACTTCTGAAGGGCACATTGACTCCACCAGTAATACCAAACGTGAGCAGCATAACAGAACACTGTAGAGTTTAGAACACTCTATTCAGTTTATATTATATACTTATATAACAAACACACCTTTCCAACGATGCATCTGTCCAGTTCAAATAAATGTAGCCTTTCTACAGGTTCCCCGTGTCTCTGATCATGGAGGATCAGCACTCCTGCCAGAAACCCACACTGAAGCAGCACCACTGGATGATTCTGGCTGGGATGTAGACTTTTGATTTGTACAATGGTGATATTGACAATGTAAACTGGGAAAAAATTATGGACTCTGGTGTTTATTTTGCATTGACTTTGCAGTTGATTATTTTTATTATTATTATTTTCTGAGTTGAGCTCCAATGGCGACGGTGCACAGCTTCAGGACTGGAATTACATTGCACTTCAAATGTGTTGAAATGCATGAAATGCAAATGTACATCATTCCTATTGGATTTCTTTTTTAATGGAAGCTTATTTCTGTCACAGAATAAAAATACAAATAGCATTTACTTCTTTCTTTTTTCCGAATTGCATGATATAAACTCTCAATTCTGAGAAGAAAACAAAACTTGCAATTGTTAGAAATATTCAGAATAGTGAGGTGAAAAGTCACTATTAGCTACCTTTAAATTATGACTTTTCTCGCAATTGCGAGATTATCACAATTCAGACTTTCCTCAGAATTGCAAGTTTTTCTCAAACAATTCAGACTTTTATCTCACAATTCTGAGTTTATATCTTGCGAGAAAAATAGTCAGAATTGTAAAATAAAATCGCAATTACTGTTTATATATATATATATATATATATATATATATATACAGTATATGTGAAATAGCCTATATCCTTTAATTGAAACCGGTGCTCTGTTGTGCCAAAAGACATTTCGAAACATTTCACCACAAACTTTCGCTTTCGCCGCACAGACCTAAATGTGACCTATAAATGTGTATTTATGTATGATAACCCCCTCAGCTTTCAGTGGGCCGGAGAGTTTGAAATTATTAATAAAGAAACATGGATGAATGAGAAAGTAAAGAGCGGGATGTGCTTGATAAAAAAAAAAACATTCCTATTGGATTATAGCCAATAAGCCGCGAAAGAGAACTGATCACGGACAAGCATTGTGGAAGGCAGAGGGGGCCAAGGGTGCGTCCGAAATCGCATACTGTTTAGTAGGTACTACATTTGAATTTGAACGTACTACTCGACCATTAAAAAAGTACGTTCTATATAGTATAAATGTGGGTAGAATGAAATTAGGATTTACACATCCGCCATGTTGACATTGTCACGTGACATACGTTGTCACAACAGCGCGAACATTTAAAGAGCCTAAAATTTTACATTTTAAAAATGTTTACATTTTTGGCTGGATTTTGCTGTCGCAGACAGATTTCCACAGTCTACGACAAAACCCCTGATATGA